TTCGAGATGCTGGTGCTTCGGACTAAGTGTACGTGAAAGTGTGGGGTAGGTAATTTGCCGCAATCACAGTTTCATCCTTAGGAATTAAATAGTTACCCATTGAATATGAGATGGGTCTCGTTAGACTGACAACAGAATGTTTTTCGTCGTTTCCAGGACGAACTAACATAACTTCATTCCAAAGTTGTACAAATGGTCGACTCAAACCATTCTACATTTTTTACAAGACTATATTCAATATCTGTCCAAAGATTCAATGATATTTTGCCTGTGATCAGAAAAATCGAAAAATTTCAGTCACGGCAATGCCCTGAGGTGTTATTTTCTTCTTCTTCTTTCCAAAAATTGTAGTTTACATGTAAAGATTCAGCAACTTTGAAGTGCAGTGGCGTTCATACAACCAAGGGAAGCACTGCATCTCCTATCATCTTTCATTAGATGCAAAGAGAATTAGTCTCCAAGTGCTAATAATTTAAAGGCCAGCAAATAAGAAAGAGTTGAGTCAATTAAAAAAAAAAGAAAAAGTAACGAAATTTTAGTTATTTCGCCTTAAGTAGTCTCCACTTGAATACCATGTACACGGAAAGAAATTAAATGTTGATTTAGTATTTATACTGTTAAAAAGATATCCGACAAGTCTCAAATGCTGATTTTACATTTGAACAAATGCTAACGTAACTACGCCCACTGCAAAACGTACACATTAAATTGTTATGTTAGCATTTTTGTATTGTAAAATCAGCATTTGAAACTTGTCTGACATCTTTTCAACAGTATAAATGCTAAATCAACATTTAATTTTTTTCCGTGTAAAAAAATGAGCTGTGTAGGTCACTTTTACCTCTCAATGTGTAATATTTACTGGTGTCATGAGGTGGACGCTACCAAAAGCGTAAAATTCCGAAAGCGAACTCCAAAAGTGGTAACTGCAGGGCTCAAAAGCACAAGGAGAGTGTGTGGAGGCTCGCACACAAAATCGCAAACCCCTGGATAAAGAAAAGACTAAGAAGAAGAATATGCATGATTTTTGTGAACGCCTCAATTATTATTTGATGGCAGGCTACGAGGATTGTAAAAAAAAAAAAATCGCACTTAAACATCAAAATGATTTATTCAATAGGGGGAAAATCCAAACGCAGGACGACTCGTTGACAAAGGTTGAAGGAAACACCAAAAATCTTGCCACAATCCCACATTTTTTGCAATGTTGAGGACCAGTAATATTGCCATAAATATACATATAAACAATCATTAATTTTTCGGAAAATTGATAATGTCCCCATAAAAATCAGTAATGGTTTACGCCATTGGCATTATAGGTGACGCTGAAATTAATTTGCAGTTTAAGAGAACAAGAATGTGAAGCGCATGCGCCTAATAAAAGTACATGAATTTCTTTATAACGCCTGGATGCAACTATTCGGGCTCTGCGGATGTCTGTGTTGCATACGCACGGAACGGAAGGCGTTTTGACTTCTAGACACTCACCGCTTCACCCAGGGCGCGGCGTGGCGGCGGGCTGTATTGTGAAGATCCAAAACGAAAGAGCGCCTTTCGTTCTTCATTTATACTACGGAGATATTTCTTGGGCACGAATAATGTTGCTCTACAAATCATCCTCAGCACATCGCTGTACAAAAACTGAGGCATGAAAGATATTCAAACCCGACGCATATGTGAAAATATCCGTGCGTAGTAGATGTTTTTGTAGTATAAGCGAAGGGTTGAGGGCGCTCTGACATTTTGGATTCTAGCACTTTAAACCACTGCCTGCAAAACGCCTTAACTTCCGTGCTTATGCAACACGGACATTCGAGGAGCTCGAATAGTTGCATTGAGGCGTTGTAATAATGAAATTCGCTCAAGGTTCGTTGCAGGCGATACTGACTGAAGGTACTTCGCGTGTTTCTCTTACACCTCACTTCATTCCAGCGTCGCCCATTGCGCAAATGAAGTAAACCGTCACTGATTTTAATCTCGTCGTTGGCAATTTTCCGTAAAATGCTTTGTTTACATACATCTGATTAGAACGTTGCCTTTCTAAAATAAAAGCTACGACCCTACACTTCGTTTCCTAAGAACGACGAGAGTGGAAGGTCGTTTTATGGACACTTAAAGGGGGGGGGGGGGATCGAGCGCGTATCTCAACATATTTGTTTTTGCAGAAGAGTTAAGTCAGAAATATACATCAACCTACAGTCAGTTCAGAACTCGATGAGGCGGGGCTACAGGTAATAATAGAAACAATTACTTTACGTCAATGATCGCTTCAGTCATCGAATAGGAGCACTGGCAGACCGGGTTCATAAAAAGGAATCAGTGCCTATAGTTTCTCACGTAAAATTCTAGATAAGACGCTAACAAAAATAAGTAAATGTGTGTTCTTAAGTTTTATACAACCGTCGAAAACATGGATGAAAAAGAAATTCGACGCTCATAGCGGAACGAACCTGCTCAACGTTCAGATACGAGTACTTGGCTAAAAATTTAATAACGTTCAGGCCCGCCTCAAGGGGGGGGGGGATACTGGGTCCTTGGTACCGGGGCCCGGGCCCTGGAGGGGCCCGTGACGCAGGTGACAAACCACTACGAATTCATGTGTAACCCTTGTCTCGTAGGGAAAATAAGTGAAAAAATTACCCTAAAAATTCCGCAAAAGGTGAATAAAGTTTCAAAAACACGCTAGGGCACTATAAAATTTTTCTTACTTTTTTAGAGATTTTCAAGATTTTGAGTATATGTAGAATGATATTTTTAGTAACTGTGTTTCATTTTCTTCCGTTGTCGGATGCTAAGAGGCTCCTTTCTGGGCATCCTCGACTTCAATGGCTTAACTCCCTTGCCATAGACGTACGAAAGGGGAGTCCAGGGGGGCCCGGCTCCCTATGGAATTGAAAATTATCATCTGCCCCCTCAAAAAAAAAATTTATAGATGTTTTGAATGCAACAATTCGAAAGTTTTTGGTGCTGAAAGTAAACAAAAAGGCGTAATTATTCTGCAGAAATTGATGGGAAATCTCCATCATAAGAGCTTCATAATGCGTCCAAATAGATTTAAAATTTCAAAAATTTCCCGGGGGAGGCCCCCCGGCCCCCCCCCCCTGTGCTAGGGGCCCGGGCCAGAAAATTGGTACCAGGGCCCGAGATGAGATGTGGCGGGCCTGTCTCACGTAGAGATTGAGATCCTAACGAAAATGTAAACCCGAATTTTATTTTGCATGTTGCTCACGTCTAATCATTGATTTTGTTTCCGTAGTCATTGAACTGTCGTGTCCTTTAGTTTTCTTACTTTCTCGCTCCCCTAGTTTTTTTTGGATTGATTTGACCTTACATGCAGTACACACCTTTTGATCTGACTCCAATTCTGCCGTGCTAAGGAAGAACACCGTATGAGCCTTCAGACGTTGCCAAGTTTCCTTCGATAAAAACAAAATTTATAAGGAAAACTGTGAATTTTTTTTTCTGGAATTTTTGGGCAATTTTGCACGCAATTTCATCTAAAATATCTGAAAATTTCAAGGAAAAGTATGCATGAATGTAGTAAAAAATAAATGTTTTATCAAGAGAAATTTGGCAACTCTCAAATGTTTATACGGCGTTCTTCCTTAGCACGGCAGAATTACTCTCAGTTAATGACCGTACTTAAGTGCATATTCCCTTACTTAGATTTCTCAGCTTCACACCCTTTTTTTTTCAACTTTTAGAGACTCAAGTTTGTGGGTAGACGTATACACGAGTGTTTATTTTGAAGATCATCCTATGTCTCGTTTCCCTTTCACTGCACTGGTGGAAATTGTGACGTTTGCTAATAAATTATGCGTCAGTGAACTCTAGAATGCTATCTCAGTGACCCATTTAAACGCAGCCGTCATAAATAAGTCGAACCACCTACGCGAAGAAAACTTGATCGCAATGCAAAATACATTAAACAGAGGGCACTGAAGTTATTTCGAGCAGCGTGAAAATGCAAGAATTACCTCGCTCCTGTTACCGCCAACCAAGATTGACGCGCCTCAATTACAGCATTTCTAAATTCCTACTCCGCTATTTTTCAAATCTTTTACATTATTATTGTTCATTTATGTAGAAAACTTATCCAAAGCGCAGGAAAACACACACAAATGTTTAGGAGAAGAAGCTAATTTATTTTCCAAAAAAAAAAAAAAGAACAAATCAGAAAGAAAAATGTGAAAGTTTGCCGTGGCAAATGTTTAAACCGCATTTTTAAAAAGTATTTGTTGATATTAAAAATAGCGCAGCTTAGAACTGCAACAGCAGCACATACCCCTCCAAAGCCTCCATAAGGCTATCAGACTTCAAAGGTTTTTGATTAAAAGTAGAAGCTAAAATAAAAAGGGTTAATATACATTTTGAAAATAAAGGAACAGAAACTACATAAGACTGAAATGTGTAATAAAATCTCATATACCCATGCGCTGCAAAAGGAATTCTCTTGAAGCTTACTTACCTCCTTCAATCAACAAGTCATGCTGTGTCCGAAGAGGTGCTGCAGTGTATAATTCATTGCGTCTCATGAAAATGAAGGCGTTTTAAGATCGTATCAGTCGCCCGCGACCGCGGCGCGGCGCAGCACGGCTCGAACTATGATACTCCTGTCCATTCCTCAAAATGGCTAATAAATCAAATGTTAACGCAAAAGAAGTTTGTGTTAACTGCGTGCCATGGTGATCCTCTCCTACCTAAATCTTCTCTGCGATCTGAACTAAAACGGATCAAGTTTTTCAAGCTATGTCAAAATAAGTCTTTCGGCTCCATGTAATGTTTTCAGTGTCAGTAACACACCGGAATTAGACCATGAAACCAATTTTCGTCCCTTGCTTAGTGCCACTATCAAATGGAGTCTGGGTGTCACTATTTAGAGTCTGATTATAAATTATATCACGCACTAAGGGGTGCTGCGTAGTCGAATTTTCGCTTAACCCTCAGTTTTGAGGTAGAATAATAGAGTGTACAAAGTTTGACACTAATCGAGGCAAGGATATTGAGATAGGAGTTTGTATTTTCTCTTATAATTTTCACCAAATAACGCTTTCACTGACTTCATTAAAATAATTATGATGCTTAATTGTTTTTTTTTCTTCTCTCCACTCAAGATTTTGGAGAGGGGTATATGTTATCGAGACGGTTTTTTTTGGGGGGGGGGGGATGAGGAAAATAAAAAAAATTAAGATCCATATAAAAGGTATTCGAGAGAGGAGGCATAAAACACTCCGAATGACACTGTAAGAACATTCATTTATGGACGACCCCTTGAGTGAGACACAGTTTGATGAGTCACTCCATTGAACACGGATAGTCATATAATCAAAGGCACTGACCTCCTGATTCAGTGCCCTCCTCTATCCTTTTTTATTTCCTTATCATTTCGCTGCACCGGACTGTTATCATTCCAAGTATGCAATCATTGCACATCAGTGGCGCGGCATGCTTTGCGATAGAATCGATTGATTTGCCATTTAAACCAACGGAGAAGGATCGATAAACAGGGTGTCGCAACGTACACCTAAATAATCGATTTTTTACTATAGCTTCAAATGGGTAAATATCGAAAATCGATCATTCGCGCCTCGCCACTGTTGCACATCCTCGCAACCCACGAAGAAAAGTTAATCAAGTGAGAATTTATCTGCATTGCATGTCTGACAGGGTCAGTTTTTCAACTTTTCATGTATCAGAATCGAAATTTAAACATTTTTTTTTTTTTGTGCGGACAAATTTTTCAGTTTCTATTATTTTGTTCACAGTGTTACACCGGTGGATCCAATGAATTCAGATTTTCGAGGCCTTGAATAATGAGTTGCGTGCCTTGCTGCCCGAATGAAGATTTCATTCCGCAAGAGGAGCTCGATCGATGGACGGACGATATTCATCATGTTCTCAACAATCGAGAGGGTACCCGCCGTTTCCATGAGTTCCTCGTCACCCGAGGCTTGGATGAAAGCGAGCTCACCCTGGAATTTTGGGAGAGGTGCAGCCGGTCCCTGGATCAACTTTCCGCCAGCGGTTCTCCGTAAGTAACTCCTTTTTTGTGATACACGTTGACGATAATCCTGCCAAGCTAAGGAAAAACACCGCACATTGGACCGAATCATACTAGTCATAAAAGTAAATTTGAAAGTGAGAATAAAACACATGCACCGGCTAGTCACGTCATCTGGCAGTACATACCATTGGAACATATCGACGGTGAAACTACCAAACCACGTATCTCGTTTGCGGTGTTTAAAAATCTACGCTCACATTTTATTTTTTTGAAGTAGACCAAATCAATATCACTCCTAGAAATTTTCACGGAATTTTCTCCGCACAAAGAGGAAAAATCACAGAAATTTTCAAGACTGGATGTTAAATAGTTTTTCATTTAAAAAATAAAGTATGACGGGAAGTCTGCGACGTCGCAAACCGAGATACGTGGTTTGGTAGTTTCACCGTCGATATGTATTTTAGCAGATATATCATGTGTTCATATCTCCTCCGATAATTGTTCAATTTATGATCAAGAATATCCTCGTGTTCAGTTCAGACATCAAAAGGCTGTATAATTGAGACTTTTTTTAAGAAAATATATTTTCGAAGCGTAGATTTAAGAGAGTAGACAGAATAAGTCGGACAGAAATGATTGATTGTTGTGGATTTTTATATCCAAACGCTTTAAAATGCGAGCATGTGATGATTACCTGATAACGAAATGATTTACCAAGCCCATCGTAGGGTGTAAAGGTGTGATTTTCACCCAGTATTTGATGCAGGTACTCGGACTTATTGATCGGCAGGAACTATCAACTGGACGTATTTCTACCAAAGAGACCTATGTGCAGATGAAAAATATGGGGTGTGCTCGTGGAAGCTGGATAAGAAGCAATGTGGTCAGTGGGCGTGATTCCTTTTGAAGAATTGGAAAAGCGGGATATTACATTCTATCAAAGAGACCTATGTGGCAAATGAATGCGGGATTCATGAGCCGCGGGCATGGCAAGAGAGCGTTGTGGACAGGGCTCATGAGTTAATGACCACGACTACCGCAACCACGAGGAACGTGACGCCGGCGTCCTCCTCCGTTGACGTCACTGGCGCACAATTATTCTCATTCACTCTTACGCAAAGAGAACTAACGAGCACACCCCATATTTCTCACTTGCACATAGTTCTGTTTGATAGAAATACGTCCAACTGTCTCTGAAAGTTTTCACATTTCTGACTTGAAGAGCGTGCTCCGATAGATATAATATACCTGACTCGTTCAAATCACAAACGTGAAATTGGTCGGCGTTACCTATACTATCAAATTGGACGTGTCTGTGCTAAAAGGGACTATGTCCATAGGGTTTGCGTGCAACAATAGTGCAACATAGTTCCTTTTAGCGTAAATACGTTCAATTGTGGAATTGTAATCAGTTTGTCCTCGCGAAATTTCTTACAAAAAGGGTTTGACTTCAATTTTGACAGTTACGCGATTTAACTAATTGAAGATTCTTTCTCGCTGAGACAATTGCCAGAAACTTTGAATGAGTTTAAGGAAACGCCTCTAACAAGATATCGTTCGATTTTTTTCAGGCCTGACACCAGACATTCGGTTGAAGTCATGCGATTTCACAAGGAGGTAAAGGATTTGCTGAGTTTTGCGGAGGAGAACGTGAACTTCGATTTAGCCCAAATGAAGATATTTTATGAAGCTGTCAAAAGCGCTAACGTGGATAAGTTGAAGACAGTGGTGGCCGAAGCGATGGAGTCTGCGGTCAATCTTTTAGACGATGATTATCAACTCTTCAGGCGTCACTTGTTGCGAGAGAGGAACCTTTTAAAATCTCGGTGATTCGGAAAAAGTGATATTCGTTGAAAATTTCCTCGTACCTGCTCAAAAAGGAACCATCAAAATCTGGTGTAACCTTGTTGATGAAGGTTTTGCGTGAGTCTTTCGGCTTGTTCACGTTTTGAAGTTCCTGAGAGATTTATATAAAGTTCCTGATAATAATGTTAATGATTCGTTTCGACTTGAATACGTTGAAATGAGTATGCATACGTACCTAATTGTGAAAGGAGCGTATTGGAAAAGAATCTTGCCCAGGATAAATCTAAAGCCACCATGATACCTGAGCATTATAACCGGTTACCGTAAAGTAAAAAATGCGTTGAGAAAAACAAAGTATTTTCTTCCGAAAATACCTACATTGTCTCTCCAATACGTCAACCAGCAGCTCCACTGCTTCGCTAAAACGCCTTCAATTCCTGCTTCCGCAACCATTACTGCTTCGCGTTGATATGTGAATCCAATGTTACAATGCACTTTTGTACCTACTCACAAATTCTAACCACTCTAAGTTTAAGTGCGTTAAGGTTTAATAGCCTGTTGCTCCTTCTGATTGCGTAGAATTCTACGGGTAACATGAGTCGATTATTTGATTAACCAGAAACAATAGAACAGGATAATGAAAAATCACAAATGTTTAGAAATGAGGAAGAGATATTAGATAAAATGTCGTGCCGATATTTCTCTCCAGATTGCGTCGGAAATGAGTTTATCTGTGTCACAACAAGGGAGTTTTTACTAAAAAAGTTGTGGGAGAGCAGAAAATAAGAAAATATTTAAAGGGCCGAAAAGAATTGTATTAAAGAATTTGGAAAACTATGGAATTACAAAGAATAGTCACACTAAAAAAATGTGCCAAAAGGGCGAACAAGGGGCACAGCGTACTAGTACGGGTCAGATGGTAGAAGGACCTCGAGAAATGGATAGCTCAAGCTTTTATAGGCTTGCTGACGTCACAGGTGGTGAGACAACAAGTCTACACGCTATTGGCTGGCTATAATCAGTGGAGCTATCAGCTGCAAGTTCAGTAATAAAAGTAATGGGTAATTTAAGGTGATGACTGGGAGATAGGACTGAAAAAGAGGAAAATGTACGAAATCCAGCCATCCCTAATGAGTAAACTGAAATGTAATGAACAATCGAAAATGTGAAGGAAAAATATGAGAAGGTGTTGACAATCTGCCTCTATTGCAATGAAAGATTTTATTTTGTAGTAACTTTGATAGCAAAATAAAGTAAATACCTATTTCAAACAAAAATAATGATGATGCTACTTTAAATAGGTCTGTGGTTACATATTTATCTGCAAAAAAGTTTTCCTTTCATGACTTTTCACCACTGAAAATGAGAAATTATTTTCAGCCTTTTCCAAAACGACTGAGTGCTGTTAGTGTTGCATTTATAATCTCAGCTATCGTGCCTTTTTATGCAAAATGTTAGTTATGATACTCGTTATTTGCATATATTCGTTGTCAATCATACTCGTAGGTATGATTGAAGGAATTATGAGAAAGAATTTGTTGGGATTCCGAAGGAATTGGTATAAGCGTTCCTGAGGATTTATCTATACTTATGTAATTACTACACAATGACAGCACGAATATTAGGTAACCCCTTGTAGTAAGGAACGTGCATTGAAAGTAAAACGTTTTAAAATCGCGGTGCTCCCGGCATGTTCCAAAAAAATTGTCTTGGCAAGTTTTTCAAGAAAAAAATACGGCCACTTGAATTTTGTTAAGATATTGAGATTATATAAATTTCAATCGACTTATTAAATAACTTGCTAGAGCACAGATTTGTTTGAAAGCTCCGAGGTATTTTAACGCTGAGGCACTGTAACGTCCGATTATACCAGTTCTGTATAATGCGCTGTTTTTGGGTAGAGTACATGATCCATGGGAACAAGGAGTGGTTCATCATTAATTTTGAGTTCATTTTATTTGCTCCAAGTATATAGAGATCTTTCGTGAGTAAATTTTTATTTTCGATTTGATTAATTACTTCATTAAGCAAGCCCTGTGTGAGCGAACAGAGAAATTTCAGGGGTATTGGACTCAATCCAAAGTTGTAGATATCTATAGTACCTAAACTTGTTTCATTTAATAATGGTTAAAACTTCTCATCTTTTATACAAATGTTACTTGGGTACTTATTTTCGTTTAATTTAAGGCTCAGAATGAAGTTTTTGTTTAGTTGTGTACTTACGAATATTTGAATTACTGTACGGCGAACTTTTCAGTTAAATGTCAATTTTTGTACAATAAAATTTTGTTAATTTTCTACCTCATTATTTTTATTAAATATTACTCCGTATTTTTGAATTTTCTTTTTTTCATCCCCTATTGCGTAACATTTTCTTTCAGCCATGGGTGGAACTAGGAAGTTTTTGTGGGAGGGTAGAAGGACAACCCGTAAACGGAGGTGTAGGAGACACAAAAACATCCCGTGGGTGTAAAAGGGATTTGTGGGTTTCCTCCGCAGTTCTAAAGAGGATTTTTTCAAAGAGTGGATTTCCCTATCCACAAAAAGAGGTCCTGCTAGTAAAACTTTGAAAACTTGAATCGTCTCAGGAGTAATTTTAAGCTATTCTCAACAACAAATTGATCGAATTAAAATTTCAAAGGTTAAAAATATGTCATCACACACTTGTCAGCAATTTTTAACATTTCAAGGGGGGGGGGGGCTTTCCGCTTTACCCGGCCACATATATACTAGTTCCGCCCATGCCCTCAGATATTTAAGTTTTAGGTTAGGTTTTAGGTTGTAAGTGAATGCATTTTGAGTGGCCATAGGGAAAGAAGAAGAAAAATGCAGTTCCGTGAGAAAAATGCAGTTTATCTTGTCGGAACTTCAATAAGTAGCATCGTCGGAAGTAAGTACAGCTTTCTCCACTTACACATGAAGATGATCCTGTATGAGTGCGTGGTATATAAAAGATAATGATCCAATGATACCTGAGGACAGGATGTATTTTCGAGAAAATCGGCTATATTTTTCATAGAAGGAAACCAAGGCAGTATTTCTGTAGCACCTTGGCTGCAACAAATTTTGGCTATATCTCGTTTTGCGGCATTACTTTATAGGATAGGATAGGATTGAAATTGGAAAGTCAAAAAGATCAAGATCGTCTATTTTTTTCAGATGGTTTTCACATTTAATTTTACGATGGGTTGAAACCTATCATACAAATCAGAACTTAATCACGCAAAAACAGGAAAAATTATGCGTCTTCGACTGGCCTTGTGAAAAAATAGTCAACGCCTCGTTAAATTTTCCTTGGCACAAATAAAAATCATAAACAATTAATCAGTTTAAACAGGCNGGGGGGGGGGGGGGGGGGAGAGACCATTGCAGATAGAAAGAGAAATTCCTGATCGCGCGTGACAAAAAGAACAGTTTTCCAAAAGGAAAGGTTAAGCCATATGAATGGAAATTTGAAGTTTCATAGTGCCAATGCGTATTCTTAAAATTAAGAGCCCTTTCATTTGCATGTTTTGATTACGCATCCTTAAGTTCTGACTTGTGGTCATACTGATCAGGTAGGTATTTCTTAGTGTTTTATCATAATAAGGAACGTGAAAAATCTGAAATAAGACCAAAAAAAAAATATTTTAATATTTTTACAAGTGTATTTTTAAAAAATGCATCGTGGAAATTGAGACGGGCAGGCTGTATTGTGCTGCAAAACTCGCTCTGTCAAATCACAATGCAATGAAGACCTAATCACACACGATGCTGTGTTGCGTAAATTCAAATTCTCATCGATTCCCGCTGCAGTCTCTGATTGGCCGATTATTTCAAGCGTGACGCCACAAAAACTCCAACAATATTCTCTGTGAATTATAAATTTACAATCAATTAAATAATGTAATTTTCTAAACCACTAATAAGATAAGTTAACACACTTTTGTTCATGATATAATACAGAATATATTTAACAATTACTAAAATTTTGTTAGCAAAAATGGCGATCCCTGGAGTTGCTCGCTTTGTTCGATTTTGGATGAGTGTGTTTGTATTCCTGCGCACGCAAACAGCTGATTCTCCAATGAAAAAATAACAAAACACGATTAGTGATCTGTTGGTCGGCTGTACGCATGTCTCGTGTTTGCCGAGTAAACCCTTCAGCACCTATTAGAATACCTATCCCTTTAGGTATGTAAGCTCATTTTAAGTAGGTTGTGTACCTCTAAGGTGATATTCGTGGCTTTATAATTTAGGAAATTAAAATTTTTGATACCCGAAAGTTCTTTGTTTGTTTACCGTAGTCAACTGAAGTTCGTGTCTTTTGTTTCCAAGTTTTTGTTCGTTTAGCTGTCTATTTTGTTCCCGTTCTTTTCTAAAGAATTTCCATGAAAATTTAGTGAGCGTTTCGTTGTCTAACTCGATTAGCTGCAGCTCATTTCTTTGCCTTCATCGTAAATCCTCAAGCATTCCTACCCGAAGACTCAACCATGCAAACTCGAAAAGTTTTTTAGCATCCAGGTAAATTACATTATGATAGTACTCAGTTTGACATAATTTGTCCTTCATTATCATCCCTGAACTGTGACTTTGTAGGTTTAGAAAACCTAGATTCTATCAAACAAATACTACACTGCCAGTAGGTAAGCAGACCGCTTTCTACTTACATTTTTGGCAACTTTCTTGAGGCGTTATAATATTCTGTTCCTCAAGTTCCTTAACCTCTAGGTAAACAAGATAAGACAAGTGTTTATTTTTCACCTGCCTGTCAGCCTCTGCTAAATACTCATTTACATTGTCCGTAGAATTACATGTTTCGTTTTCAGTTCTTAAAGTGCTATCTATTTAGTCAGTTAGTCGTCACAACATGAATGAACGTTCATTTTGAATCTCTACGGAAGTAGATTGTTCTTTACATACCTCCGATCTAGGTATTATGTTTTGTTTACTAAGATTGCGTGTCTATAGCTTTCTCTCTACACTGACAAGGCACAATTCTATTCACTGTCTGGATTCACTAAAAATATTTTTAGTTAATCTTCTTCTAAACCTCTACCCTATAAAATAAATTCACAGTGTTGATGAAATTTTTTCTTTGAAGTGTTCCGAAGCTTACAGAATACGTAGGTAGGTGATGATCATCCGTGGTTGAGGTGAATGTGGGTAATTTAAAGTCAGTGCAGCGCAAATATTGTATTATGAACCTGCTAACGTGTATCTGTGAATAGTCCAGTTACCTTTGTTGAATGCAACTTAACGTAGTTTTTATACGGTAGAACTAATGAGTTTAAGTAAGCAGGTAGAATGCAGAATAGCCAACTGAAGAAGTAGGTTTCTTTCTCTTTCAAAGACTTCAGAAGAGCAAAATTATTTTTATATTCTTCATTAAGTACTTAAATACACTTTCATCTTTAGTAACTGTTTTGATGTTACTCCCAGGTGTAGTTTATTTAATCTGCACTCTTGTGTTTTTCCGGAGAGGGATTGGAAATCGACGGTGAAACTACCAAACCACGTATCTTGGTTTGCGACGTCGCAGACTTCCTGTCATACTTTATTTTTTAAATGAATAACTACTGAACGTTCAGTCTTGAAAATTTCTGTGATTTTTCCTCTTCGTGCGGAGAAAATTCTGTAAAAATTTCAAGGAATGATATTGATTTGGTCGACTTCAAAAAAATGAAATGTGAGCGTAGATTTTTAAACACCGCAAACGAGATACGTGGTTTGGTAGTTTCACCGTCGAAATGTTTTCCGAATCAATAGATCATTCATATTCATAATTTTTCAAGAATTTCCAGAAGCAGAAGATCTAAGTTTTCTTTTTATGCTGAAGGTTCATTTTTTTTACTTACTTTGTGCCTTGATTTATTTCGTCTGTTACTTAGTCTTTTCAATGTTTTATCGGCCAAGAGCACACAAGAGTTTTATTTTTCTACAAGTTTGAAATCCTTCACGGGCTCATCTAGGTACATTCGCTTTAAAAGCTAAGCTTAAATCTCAACACTACCCCTCTCATCTGATTCATGTTCTTTTCTGCTCTTGTTCAAAATTTAACTGAATTTTATTTGCATACGAAAATGAATCGGTTAAGTTGTTTTACAAACCTGGTTGCTTTTAAAGTACTGTCGGGAGCATAAAGGCAAGCATATCTTAGAAGGTCCCTTCATAGGAAAGGGAGCAATGAAATAAACAAATTTAAGAAAAATGAGAAGAATAAAATTTCTGTGAACAGGTTTGTTGCACTTAGCTCGTTCCAAATTCACCAGCACTGACATTCTTTTGCACGTAGGAAGTTTCTGTCAAGTATTTACCAATTCACAAAAATAATGAAGCAATTCATGGTTTTAGAATGTACAATTTTGGAATTAGGATATTAGAATCCTCCCTTGTAACAAAAGAGGAACTTTATTTATTTATTTTAGCAGGTGAAAGCTCCCATTCACTTAGGCACTTTAAATTCTAGAATGGTCCTTGAAGTTGGTTTCAAGGTATTGACTCTGGTGAGTCAGATTTTTGAGTGGGGATAGGGCCATGATATTTTTTAGAAGCTCCGTAATTTAGATAGACCACTTTGACATCACTGATTTATTTCAGACCAATGATTCTTCCTAAATCAATAGATATACTTAGGCAGTGTTTTTAGCAATCTTATGCATTTAACAATACAGTTCTTTTTTTGGAAGACTGATTTGAAATTTTTCTGTGATGGGAAAGGGGGGGGGTGTCGCTGACAACCTGTGCCACAACATGTTTGAGGATTTTCCAAATATTGCTAGTTCTTTTCTGTATATTGAGGGGAGGGGGGGGGGTTGATCTCAAACCAAGAGGCTTTGGAGAATTGTAAGTGTACCTGACCTGCCTTATTTATTTGACCAACCTTTTTAAACACCTTTTATTATGCTAGAATTCTGGAGATTTTTGAATGATGCCTTTTAACCCGGAGCTCGAACATATTGTAACCATTAAGGTCTCCAATTCAGTTTTATGAGGGGGGTGAATTGACACTGCCTCTTTTCAATTTTGAATCGCCCATCATGTTAAGCCTTATTACGTCAATCCCATTGTAGCTCTGAAAATATATTCGGTAATTTAAATGTGGCAACGAATAAATTTGGAGTCCCTTCGTTAGAGGTCGCCAGGATGTACGAGAATCCGATGAATTTTTCCCTGTCGCATGAGGTTTTATTCCTCCAGTGCATGTGATTTGTCCGTAAATCTGGCACTCTCCGCTCTGACCCTGATCAGTCTAGATCCATCAAACTGGTCGTCGAACGTCTGACTGACCTGGTCCCGCTTCGAGCCAGGCGTGAAATCCAATCCAAGCACAAGCACCGTTAAAAGGAGCG